CAAATGCATTAATATGTTATTCAGTCTAAAAAAAGAAGAAATACCTGAAGAATACTCAGAGTCCACTAAATTCCTGGGTTTGCACATTGATCGCCAGTTAACTTGGAATGATCATGGGAAAATAGTTGCCGATAAATTGTGTAAAAATATTTTTGTACTACGACACCTCTATAACCAACTTCCCCTTGAAACTTTGAGAGTAGCCTATTTTGCCCTTATCCAAGCACAGTTGTCATATGGTCTATTGATTTGGGGTCACTCGAGCTCAAGACACCGAATATTTGGTCTACAGCGTAAAGCTGTTAGAGTTTTAGGTGGTTTAAAATATCGCGACGATTGTAAGGACCACTTCAAACGTTTTAAAATTATGACTTTACCCTCGCTTTATATCTTCCATTGTTTGATTTATGTGAAGTCTAATTTAACCGTTTATAAGACACACCGCGATGTCCATACCTATAATACGCGTCATAATACAGATTTGTGTTTGAAAAATTTGAGATTAACAAAATCTCGGACAGGTACCGAATATTTTGGAATAAAGTTTTTTAACATGTTACCCGTTGCAATACAAAATTCGCCATTTACACATTTTAAAACGACAATAAAACATTACTTGACATGCAAAGCTTTTTACAGTGTTGAAGAATTTTGTAATGACAAAATATTTTAGACTTAATTTAAATTTGAATTCAATATTATAAATTGTAAACTGACATGTGCACAAACAATAGTGATGTATTGTAATTAAGGCACTAATAAACATTATTATTATTATTATTATTATTATAGAGAAATCGAGAAAAGGAATAGTTGAAAAACCAAAAATAGTTAAAAACTGAAAATTTTGAAATCAAAAAAAAATATGGAAATCTCGATTAATCAACAAAAACATCAACAAATTGAAAAATCTGAATTGGAAAAATTCGATGAACTGTAGAATCGGAGAACTGAAAAATCAAAACATCGAGAAATCGGAAAATCTAATTTTTTTAAAACTGAAAAATTAAAACATTGAAAAATTGAAAAACCGGGAAAAATTGAATCGAAAACTTAAAAAATCCCAAATCTGCAATATCGAAAAATTCAAAAATCGAAAAATTTAAAATTCAAGAAATCGAAAAGTCGAAAAATCAAAAAATTGAAAAATCAAACACCTGAAAATAAAAAAACTGAAAATTGAAAATCTGAAAAATGGAAACCATGTAAAATTGAGAAATCGAGAAATGGAAAAATAAAAAAATAATTAATCGAGATTTTAAATTGAAAATTTTAAAACGTCAAGAACTGAAAAATTGAAAAAATAAAAAAAACGAAAAATTGAAGAGAATTGCAAAATCGTAAAACTGAAACATCAGAAAATTGAGATATTTAAAATTTGACGAATCGAGAACTTGAATTATAGAAAAAATAAAAAATCCCAACATAGAAATATAAAAAAATTGAACATTTAAAAACTGAAACATCGGGAAATCTAAATTTCAAAAGAATGATAAATTGAATAATTGAAAAATCGAAAAACCGAGACATCGGGAAATCGAAAATCAAAAATTGAAAAATCGGAAAATTGAATAGAAAAATGGAGAAATTGAAAAATTCCAAAACTGAAATGATGAAAAAATTCGAAACATCTAAAAATTGGAAAACGTAAATTCCCAAAAGTCAAAAATCGAAATATCGAAATTGGTCAGAATCAAAAAATCAAAAGACCGATTCTCCAAATCGAAACGTCGAAAAATTGACAAATCGAAAACTTGAAAATCGAACAATCGAAAAATTTTAAAAATCGAATAACCTTAAATTTAAGATTCGAAAAATTGAAAAATAGAAATACCGAAGAACTTAAAAATCGAGAAATCGGAACATCAAAAAAATCGAAAAATTAAAAAATTAAAAACTCTGAAATTTGAAATCGAAAAATTGAAAAACTGAAAAGTCGAGACATTGAAAAATTTTAACATTGAAATGACGAAAAATTGGGAAATGGAAACATTGAAAAATCGTAACATCGAAAGGTTGGAAAGTCGGAAGTCGAAAAATCAAAACAAAGAGAAATCGGGAAAAGGAATAGTTGAGAAACTAAAAATAGTTAAAAATTGAAGATTTTGGAATTAAAAAATATGGAAATCTCGATAAATCAAAAAAATTGAAAAATCTAAAATCGAGACCGAAACACCAACAAATTGAAAAATTTGAAATGCAAAAATTCGATGAATCTGAAGAACTGACAAATCAAGACATGGAGAAATTGAAAACTCTAAATTTTTTAAATTTGAAAAATTAAAAGATTGAAAAATTGAAAGTCTGAAAAATGGAAACCATGAAAATTTGAGAAATCGAGAAATGTAAAAATAAAAAATAATTAATCGAGATTTTGAGAAATCGAGAAATTGAAAATTTTAAAACGTCAAGAATTGAAAAATTGAAAAAATTAAAAAAACGAAAAATTGAAGAGTCAAAAAATTGCAAAATCGTAAAACTGAAACATCAGAAAATTGCGATATCTAAAATTTGAGGAATCGAGAACTTGAATCATCGAAAAATTGAAAAATCCCAGCATAGAAATATAAAACAATTGAACATTTAAAAACTGAAACATAGGGAAATCGAAATTTCAAAAATTGAAAAATCGGAAAATTGAATCAAAAAATGGAGAAATTGAAAAATTCCAAAACTGAAAATCGAAAAACTGAACAAAAAATAGGAACATCGAAATCTCGTTAAATTAAGAAATAGAGAAATTGAAAATAAAAAACTGAACAACCGAAAATTTTAAAACCTAAAGTACGAAAAATCGAAAAATCAAACATTTTAATAATCGAAAAATTGAAAAAGCGGAAAATCGACTTATAGAAAAATCTAAATTTTTTAAAATTGAAAAATTGAAAAATCGAGAAAATTGTAAAAATTGAAATATGAAAAAATTGAAAAACGGAAGAAAAATTTAATCGAAAAATTGAAAAATCCCAAATCTGAAATATCGAAAAACTAAAAAATCGAAAAAGAAAATCAAACACCTGAAAATAAAAAAACTGAAGAATTGAAAATCTGAAAAATGGAAACATTGAAAAATTGAGAAATTGAAAATTTTAAAACGTCAACATTTGAAAAATTGAAAAATTTAAAAACTGAAACATCGAGAAATGGAAACATCAAAAGAATGAAAAATTGAAAAATTTAAAATTTAAAAATCAAAAAATTGAAAAACCGAATCCAGAAATCGAAAATCAAACATTTTAAAAATCGCAAAAATTGAAAAATCGGAAATTTTATAAGAAAAATGGAGAAATCAAAAAGTTCTAGAAACTGAAATGACAAAAAAAATAGAAACATCTAAAAATTGGAAAATCGAAAATCCCGAAAGTCAAAAAATCGAATGGTTGAAAATTGGAAACATGAAAAATTTGATATCCAAAAATCAAAAAATTTATCAAAAAACGGAACATCGAAATCTTGATAAATCAAGAAATATTTTATAAAATTAAAAAAAAAAACTGACAATCGAAAAATTAAGAGCCGAAAAATTGAAAAATCGAAAAATCGAAAATTTTACAAATCCCACTATCGTGAAATCAAAAAATCGAAAGAAACCGAAACATCAAACTGAAAAATCAAATATATAAAAATTCGATGAATTGAAAAATCAAAAAATTGAGAAATCAAAAAACCTAAATTTTGTTAATTGAAAAACTAAAACATCGAAAAACTGAAAAATCACATATTTCAAATATCGAAAAATTGAAAAATCAAGAAATCGATGTTGAACAATCAAAAAATTGAAAAATCAAAAACCTGACAATCGAAAAGTTGAAAAATTGAAATTCTGCAAAATCCAAACATTGAAAATTTGGGAAATCGGGAAATTGAAAATTTAAAAACATCAAGAATTGAAAGTCCAAAAATTGCAAAATGAAACATTAAAAAATTGAAATATCGAAAAATTGATCATCGAAAATTTGAACTTTTAAAAACTGAAACATTGAGAAATCGAAACACCACAAATTGAAAAATCTAAAACTCAAAAATCGGAAAATCGAAAAACCGAAAATTGAAAAATCGGGGAATTGAAGAATCGAAAAATAGAGAAATTGAAAAATTCCACAACTGAAACGACAAAAAATTGGAAAATCGCAAATTCAAAAAGTCAAAAAGTCGAACAATCGAAACATCCAAAGAGGTTAGAATCAAAAAATCGAATAGTTAATAATAGGAAACTTGAAAAATTTGAAATTAAAAAAATCGACAAATCGAAAAATTGAGAAATTGAACAATTAAAAAAAATCTAATTCTCAATGAATCGAAATTGGTAAAAACTGAAAAATTGAAAAATTTAAAAACTGAAAAATTGGAAAATTGAAAAATAAGTAATTTTTAAAATTCGAAAAATCTAAAATTGAAAAATCGAAAAATCGAAAAAACCTGAAATTCGAAAAATTGAAAAATTGAGAAATTGAAAAATTAAGAAATCGATGAATCGAAAAATTGAATTGAAAGTCTGAAAAATCGAAACATTGAAAAGTTGAGAAATAAGGAAATGGGAAAATCAAAAATTCAATTGATTGAGTATTTGAGTAATCGGGAAATTGAATATTTAATAAAAATCCAAAATTTAAAAAATTCCGCTAAATTGAAAATATCGGAAAATTGAAGAATCGAAAAATAGAGAAAATGAAAAATTCCAAAACTGAAATGACAAAAAATTGGCAATTCGAAAAATTGGAAAATCGAAAATCAGAAAAGTCAAAAAATCGAAACATCGAAATCTCGATGAATCGAGAAAAGTAAACATTAAAAAATATATTAAAACCTAAAAAGTGAAAAATCGACAAATTTTAAAAATTCGAAAAATTGAAAAATCCAAGGACCGAAAAATCGAAAAACTAAAAAGCTACGATTTCAAATATAGAAAAATTAAAATATTGGAAAATGAAAAATCCAGAAATTGGAACACGAAAAAATTGAAAAATAGAAAAACCGAAAAAAAGGAAGTAAAAAAGTCCTCACTCTTACAACTCTTTATTTAACTTACTACACAACATCTCCTACATCCCCGACTCCCTTTAATAACACCAACCACATCATCCTGCTTCGTCATTTCGGCAAGCCACAACGGCGTATGTCCCTTCTTATTGGCCTTCATCCCATCAACCCCTCTCCCCACTAGAATCTTCACCACGTCAAAATCGCACGTTGCCACCGCAAAATGCAGAAGATTGTTACCTTCTTGATCCACAACCTTGACATCAGCACCACTGTCAATCAAAATTTTTGCACTCTCTACATTCCCCTTCTTCAACGCTGCCATTAACGGAGTGTAGCCATACCGATTGTCAGTGACGTCCACAGCCGCCTTTTTTTCAATTAGGTACTTGACAACAGCGCAACTATCTTCTTTGACACCAGCAGCTGTATGCAATGGAGTCACTCGATCGACGTCAAAAGTATCAACTGCGGCACCACTGGTGACCAAGAGTTTGACGATATCGAGGTGGCCATTCATCGCAGCTCCGTGTAGAGGTGCGCAGCCTTCTTGACTGGCCAAATTAACATCTGCACCTTTTTCGAGAAGGACTTCAACGATTGACGAAAAACCACCCTTTGATGCTACATACAGTGGGGTAAATCCTTTTTCGTCACGCGTGTTGACATCAAAACCAGTACTGAGTAAGTACTTGACGATGTCTATGGAACCTAGTTCCACTGCTAGGAATAGGTGTTCTACGGTTGGTTGCGCGAAATTGTCGACGATGTAGTTGAGTAGTTCGAGGTTTCCTTCTATTATGGTGCTCTTTATAGTGGTACCATCAACACTGGCCCCTTGTTCCATCAAGAATATAGCCATGGGTGTGTTGTTTCGAAACACCACGTGCAACAACGTTGTCAATCCGAGTTGATTGACGATGTTGACATCGCCGTTGGTATTGACTAGGTGTTTGACGATGTCGAAGTGTTGGTTCAGTGCTGCCACGATCATAGGAGTGTCACCTCGCTGGTCAACCAAATTGACATTGGCTCCTCGTTCTGTCAAGAACTTGACAACTTCCAAGTGTCCGCTTTGAGCCGCGAGGAACAACGGAGACACCAATACTTGATTAAGACACTCAATATTGACATTCTTTTCCACGAAAAGCTTGACGACATCTAGGTTTCCGGTATAAGCGGCTAAATGCAGTGGTGTAAACCCTTTATTGTCACCTACGTCTACATCTGTTCGTTCCGTCAAATATTTAACGACGTCGGTGTGTCCCCTTGAAACCGCATTATGAACAGCCAGTTGCCCCAGACGGTTTTTAACATTGACATCACACCCATTGTCAACCAGGATCTTGACAATTTCCAAGTTGCCATTGCTTGCGGCTTGATGAATCGGCGTCGTTCCGTCGTTGTCAGCACGGTTGACATCGGCCCCATGTTGTGCTAAAAATTCGACAATCTTGGGATGATTTTCCGCTACTGCCACCAGTAAAGGTGTTGCGTTTTCTGAGTCGGGTAAGTTGATGTTAGCGTTGTTGTCAAAGAGATGTTTGACAATGTCGAAGTAACCGTTTTCGGCGGCGTTACAAACAGGGGTTCGTTTTTCCTCGTCGCACTGATTGACATCTGCTTTGTAATCCACTAACAGCTTCACTAGGTCTAGGCGGTTCGGTTTTTCGTTGAAGACGGCGATGTTGAGGAGAGATTTGCCATCTTCGAAGACGGCGTTGACGTCGCCGTTGTTTTTGAGAAAGTCGGTGACGGCGGGAAGGTCGCCCTCGAAGACGGAGTGCCAAATGGTCTAAAAAGAAGGATTAAGTGTGTTATAGTTGGAAGAAATTTTGAGACGTACCTTCTGGATTTCCATTTTCTACTGATAGATGCATAGAGATAGTTTCGTCAGTTTATATTTTTTATCTAATGATCGTTTAATTCTTGTTTATGGCATAAGCTCTGATAATGTAGGTATTGCTAAAAACGATAAGGTCACCTTTTATTTTAAAAACCGTAGAATATTTTTTTTTTATAATTCTCTAGGTTTAATTTTTTTCTGTTGCAATTTTTCGATCTTGGAATTTTTTTCTATTTTTTTGACTTTTCTCGTTTTTTCTCTTTTACAATTTTTCATTTAGTTTCTTCAGTTTTTCGTTTTTTCAGTTTTTGAATAATTCAACATTTCAGTTTGCAATATTTCGATTTTTTGTTTCTTTAATTTTTCAATATGTATTTTTGCGATTATACTATCTGCACATTTTTCGAGTTTCCAATTTTATAATTTTTCAAAATATGAAGTTTTCAGTTTTTAAATTTTTCGCTTCTTCAATTTTTAAACACTTATTTTAAATTTTTGTTAATTAAATCTTTCGATTATTCAGATTCTCGATTTTTTTGCAATTTGTCGGTTTTATAATTTTTTAATCTTTCTGTTGCTCAGTTTTTTGTATTTTCGTTCTATTTTTCGATTCTTCAAGTTCTTTAGACTAATTTTTCGCTTTTTCAATTATTTCTCCATTTGCAAATGTCCTATTTTTCAACTTCTGATTTTTTGATATTTCATTTAAAATTTTGCTATTTGGAATTTTTTGTGTTTTCACATTCTGGCTTTTATAAATTTTCGTTTCTTCACAATTCCAGTTTTTAATTTTTCGTTTTTTCAATTTTCTGATTTTCAATTTTTCGATTTTTCACTTTCCAGTCTTTTTTTTATTTTACCACTTTCGACCTGCTGTTTTTTGAGTTTTCAACTAAAATTGGTCGATCTTTCAATTTTTCACCTCTTCAGTTTAATGATTTTTCGATTTTTCAACTTTTAAATAATACAATTTTTCGTTTTTCGATTTTTCTGTTCATCTGTTCTTAATTTTTCGATTTTTTGTTTCTTTAATTTTTCGGTTTGCATTTATGGAATTTTTTTGAACTTCCAATTTTGCGGTTTTATCAATTTTTGATTTTTTATTTAAGAAATTTCTCGATTTGTTAGTTTTCAACTTTTCATTTCTTCAATTTTTGGCTTTAAAGTTTTTAGATTTTACAATATTTAGATTTTATTTAGACAATTTTTCGATTTCTAACTTTTCGTATTTTCAAATTTAAATTTTTCAATTTTTCGATTTTTTAGTTCCTCGGTTTTTGATTTCTCCATTTTTTTCAGTTTTGAATTATTCTAATATCTCGCTTTTTCTGATTTTCAGTTTCAATTTTTCCAGTTTCCGATTTTCTAATCTCTCGGTCTTATTCGATTTTTGATTTTCCAATTTTTCAATTTTTCGCTTTTTCAGAATAATGTATTTAAACTTTTCGTTTTTTCATTTTTTATCTCTGATTTTTTTTCGTTTATTCATTTTTTAGATTTTTCAGTTGCTTAATTTTTAGTTTTTTTTTTATTTTTCTATTCCAATTGATAGACTTTACCACTTTCGAACTTCTATTTTTTGAATTTTCGATTTTAAATTTCTAGATCTTTCCATTTTTCACCTTTTCATTTTCATGATTTTTCAATTTTTCAATATTTCGATTTTTCAGTTTGTCACTTTTTAATTTTTCGATTTTTTGTTTCTTCCATTTTTCGTATTTTTACAATTCTTCGATTTGCATTTTTTGAATTTCGAATTTTTCGACTTTATCAGTTTTTAATTTTTCAATTTTTGAATGTTTTAATATTTCATTTTGGCAATTTCTCGATTTTTAGGTTTTCGAGTTTTTATTTCTCCGTTTTCCGATTTAAAATTTTTAAATTTTATAATTTTTCCAACTCACAATTTTTCGATTTACAAAGTTTTGGTTTTAGAATTTATCAATTTTTTTATGTTGAATTACTCTAATACCTCGCTTTTTCAAATTTTAAGTTCATCCACTTTTGATTTTTTCATTTTTCGATTGCCATATTTCGAATTTCAATTTTTAGAGTCATACATAATTTTTCGATTTTTTAGTTTTTAGATATTTTTCGATTATGCAGTTTCCCAATTTTTAATTGTTGTACAAACGGTCCTTAATCCTTCAATTTTTCGTTCGTTCAATTTTTTACAGTTTTCCGATTTTTACATTTATCTATTTTTCATAGTTTGCATATATTTTAATTTTCCGTACTTTCTGTCCCCAATTTTCCAATTTTTCAGTCTTTAGTTTTTTCAGTTTAAAAATTTTGAAATTCCTATATTCCAGTTTTTCAATTTTACATTTTGACTTAAGTTAATGTTTTTATTTTTCAGTTTTTCGATTTTTATTTTTCAATTTTTCACTTCTTCAATTTTACGATTTTGAAATTTTTAGATTTTACAATTTCTAGAATTTTCAACTTAAATTAGTTATTTTTTCGATTTCCCTTTTCTTCAATTTTTGATTTGCAGTTTTTGGGTTTTTCAATTTTCCTAATCTTCCAGTCTCAATTTTCCAATTTCTCGATAATTTTAGTAAAAAATTATCCATTTTTCAGTTGTTCAATTTGTAGATTTTTCAATTTCAATTTTTCATTTTCTCATTGCTTCATTTTTCGATACCTACTAACGTTAATCTAAAATTATGGCACTGTTTTCAAGGTGATTCCAGGAGCTTGTTCCATCATAAATAACACGGGCTTTTAACAACCATAATCTTATCACTTTTGCAGTATCATAATTTTTGTTAATTCGATTTTAATCAAACTTGACTTTTCTCTGCAATAAAAAGTTTTAGATTTTTATATTTCTCGATTTATAATTTTTCAATTCGTGAATATTTTATTAATGTGACAATTTTTCTTTCGTCCAATTTTTCGATTTTTCAAATTCAGCTTTGAATTCTTTTATCTTCCAAATTTTTAATTTTTATATTTTTGGGTTTGTCAGTTGTGAGATTTTTCAGCGTCTCGATTGAACAATTTTTCGACTTTGAGTTTCTCTAATTTTAATTTCTCCATTGTATGGTTCCTTAATTTTTTTGTTGTATTTTTTTTTGTTTTACAATCTTTTTATTTAAATTTTTCGAGTTCATATTTTTGAGTTTGCTGTTCCTTCAATTTTTCGATTTCGTATTTATCGATATTTTAGTTACACGGATTTACGATTTTGCAGTTTAATTAAATATTTTACAATTTTTCGATTTTCCGTTCTTCCAATTTTTCATTTTTTTAATTTTTTGACTCTTCAGTCATTAACTTTCCAATTCGTTTCAAACATCAATAGTCACCGGGTGCTATGGACTTATCGAATATGTGAAGAAAACGAAATTTTTACTCCAATTCAAGTAGTCAGTGGTAGATGTAAAAATAATCTAATAATGACAAATAGGTACTTAACAAATAAAAAGCTACAAACTGTAATCATTATAACTCAAGTGTTTCAAAGATAACAGTGTGATAAGAGATTACAACTTTCATTAGGTATGTTTATTGTGAAACATTGCTGTCAGTGATTTTGTGGTTTCTCGGTAAGATCTAATTCTTAGGTAGGTTAAATTTCTATTTCTAGTTGATGATCTATCTTTTATATGGAATTTGATTATATTCTTTCAAGCAGTCCAGCTTTCTTCGCATAACTTCGAAATAATCTTAGTTGTTTACATTGTTACGGGCAACTGGCTCGCCAATGGCTGTGTGCCAACTCTCGAAACTCGGGGCGTGTGCTATACAAAAAATTATTATCATTAGCAAATTTTTATCTTTGACTGTTTTACAATAGCCTTATTTGTTCGAAACTTTTTCAATATGTAATGTGAGACGTAGATGACGTAAACACTATTTACTACAAATTAAAAGATCGTTGAAGGTGTTCCACAAGGTTCAATGTTGGGTCCAATGCTCTTTACACTACAAACAAAGATAGTGTCTCCAACTCTGCCAAACTTTTAAAAATTCGAATCAATAAAAAACTGTTATATAAACGATTTATTAAGTGAAGAAAGCTACTTACCAGTTACGTAAATTAAAATTATTCTGTAGCTGTGATTTATTAAGTTAACTTCTAATAGTCACATTTCCAAGCTTGATGGAATATGATATTTCAGAATTACAAGAAAATGGCGAATGAAGAAGAAAACTCAAAACGCTTGGAAACAACGTCATTTGCGTCTAAGTTGTGCAAAGATATCTCTTCTCTGTACTTAAAAAAAACATTTTCGGATGTTTGCTTTATTGTTGAAGACCAAAAACTTTACGCCCACAGAGTGAGTATGAATTACCACCACATTACGCATATTTTAAACTATTTTATCCAAGAATATTCTGGCTGTAAGAAGTCGATATTTCGAAAATCTTTTAAGTGGTGGTTTGGAGGAACCTAAACAGGTGACTTTAAGAAAATAACCAGCACATTTCTTGAAACATTTAATTTTAGGAAGACATTACAATAAAGAACGTCCCACTAAAAGCATTTAAAATGCTGCTGAGATATATATACACAGGTGAGAAACATTTTTATTATACTTAATCGACACGTTAAAATTCGCCAATTCTAGATGAAATACTCGTGACGACGTCTAATACCGAGTTGGTCTCCCAAGTCTTCGCTTTGTCATGCTTATATTCCATGCAGGACCTCCAAGATGTGATAATCTCAAAGCTGAAGCCAATCGATTTGGATAATGTTCATCGCATCTTGAACATGGCGCACTTACACGATAAAGCAGAACTGAAAAAAGTTTGCTATTCATTTCTCGAAGAAAATCCTTCTGAATTTCTCAGCGGAAAATTTTGCGATTTAACTCAAGTACTAAATATTAACTACTTTAACAAAAATAATAAATGTGTTTTTTTTTTTTTAGGAGTCGCTGGTTGGATTAATGCAGAACGACAATTTTTGCGCTCCCGAGATTGATATTTTTAGAGCCATTGCGAAATGGGTTACGAAAAATAAAAACGGTGATAATTCGATGTTCCAGTATGTTAGGTTGGGGAGGTTAAGCATCGACGAAATTCTTGGGGAAGTTTGGCCCATGGATGTTTTTACTGAGAAAGAGTTGCTTGACGCCATCGCGGAAATCAGAGGCATTTTTCCTAGAAAAACCACCCAGAGGGGAGTTATAGGTGCTTTCGAGTCTTGATTGGTAGTTCGGTGGCGATATAACCTGATTTTTTTTTAGTTCCGGATGAAAATGTGGCTAGTTGTGATCGAGGAGGGGAAGTGTTATGTCAGCCAGGTAAAGAAGCATTTTTAAAAGTCACATTAATTTCCGCACATGTGTCAGCCAATCAGAACCAAACACGTTTTAATTTGCAGTTTTTCAGTTTTACAATTTTACGTTTCTTCAGTCTTGTAAAATGAAAATCTAAAATCCAAAAAATAACAACTGAGAAATCGTGAAACTGAAAAACTGAAATATCTTTAAATATAATTTTAGCAGAAGAGAGTGGTGAAATATGGCACAAAATCAAAGCTGATGATAATATTGTTGTTAAGTTGCCGAAGCCGACTGTGATTAACCACATCCATATGAAACTACAAACAACTGATGACAGGTTAGAAATTCTTGTTTTCATTGGTAAGATAAAACAGAATTAGCGGAGTGGGGGTGAGAGAGAGAATGAGAGAGTGAGAGAGCATCAATTTTGTTGGATCGTTATATATATTTCGCAAAACGACTTATTTATCTAAACTTTAGATTTGTACATATTCTAGACACTATAGTTATTACGTGGAAACATCACTAGATGAAGCAAAGTGGGAGAAAATTGTTGATTATAGGCAATATCCATGTCGTTCAGTACAAGATTTATTTTTTGAAGATGTAGCAACCCGTTATATAAGAGTGGTGGGAACTCACGGTAAAGAAACTGATGTACGACGAACTATCAAACTTTTAACAAACTGTTGAAAAATTGAATATTTTGCTTTAGAACTTCCGATTATCGTCTTTGGAAGCATATTATAAAGCAGTCATTCCATCAACGATAAACAACTTAATTCGACCAATTTCAAACATAGCTACTGAAGAACACGGCGCCGTTGTTGTTCAAGGGTAAGCACGTAATAATAATATTTTTAATTTTAACACACAATTATGATATAATTATAAAATCTAATCAACTATTATTTAGTGGTAACAGAGAGTATTTATTGAATGGAGATACGACGAATTACACTCCTCACACTGGATTTACATACCACCACATACGTTCCCTAAATTGTATTTTAATTCAATTAGGTAAAGTATCATTCTTTTTTTTAATCTTACTGTTAAGACTTAAGAATTTACAGCGCAGCCCTTCGTTGTTTCAAGCATGAAATTACTATTATGGGATTTAGACGATAGAAAATACAAATATTTCATCGAAACGTCTGTAAATAATGTCACTTGGGAAATTGTAGCAGATCGCAGGAACGAAAATTACAAATCTTGGCAAAATATTCGCTTTGATGAACGTCCTGTTGTTTTCATTCGAATTATTGGGACGGATAACACTGCTAATACGGTATTTATAGCGATGTAAAACCGTTTCAACCTTTACTAATAATATTACGTAGGATTTCCACTGCGTTCACTTTGAATGTCCTAGTAGGCAGTGGCGGCTTTTCAGGTGAAGTTACTGAAGTGGCACTTCACCTATTTTTTTCATAATCCATTTTTCTAATTTTTTTCTCAAGTCTAAATATAATTAGTTACACTGAGGTTCGACTAGCATCTAGAATTAAGTAATATTAACGTCGATGAAAAGCGCGTCAAGTAAAAATTGCAAATAGTGCATGCAAGTGAAGTGTTTAGTTCAGCAGCGTGACATATCGTCTCAAACGTAAGGTTGCTATGGCAACCGTAGCATCCCCCACCCCCTCCAAGATCCGCCGGTACCCATTACAATCGTAGAACTGAAGTTGCGAGTCGAGAAAATAACTAATAAATAATTTCCGAAAAGGCAACTTAGAGGAATTGTACTTATCCGTCATGGAAATAGACTGGTCATTAATTACGAACGAACATGACCTTGAATCGGCCTGTGAAAATTTTTACAAAAAATTATTTGACACTATTGGAAAGTATGTACCAAGATGCACACACAAGATGCAAAGCTCAAATTATCCAATATGGTTCACGGGTTCTATAATTAAAAAAATTAAATTAAAAAACAAACACTGGAACACCTACAGAAAAACTAAATCATCGTATCATTTGGACATGGTAAAGAAACTAAGATGCGAAATTAGGCGGGAAATTCGTACGGAATATAGTAATTTTATTAGAATATCAGAAGGCTCGCTACAACATGATCCTACAAAGTTTTGGATGTTCGTAAATCAGAAGAGAAGAACGACGAGTATTTCGGGCCGTATGGTTTACAATGACAATGTTTTAACAAGACAACAAGAAATTGTTGATGCCTTAGCTAGTCATTTTTCAACCACGTTCGTCGGTGATAAATCCAATCATGTCTGTGATAACCAGTGTAGCAATAATCTTGTAAATTTCTGTGAACACTGTGGCAAGTATTGTTGTCCTTCCTTGAAAATTGATACACCCTGTAATGGTGCAACAGTTTTGAACATGTTCTACATTAGTCATGAAGAGATTTTAAAAGCGGCCAAAAGAATGAAACCGAACAACGTATCTGGAGCGGATAATCTTCCCGCCTTTCTAATTGTCGACTGCATAAATTACCTGTTGCCGCCATTATGTCACATATTTAATTTAATTCTACAATCATGTGCATGTCCGAGTGCATGGAAAATCTCTCGTGTAGTTCCCATATTCAAGTCAGGTGATAAAGAAAATGTAAAAAATTACAGACCTATTGTTCTTATTTCAAATATCGCAAAATTATTTGAATGTATACTGTCTGATATTCTTTATTCACATGTTGCACCTAACATTGCGCCTGAACAGCATGGCTTCGTCAAGGGCCGATCAACAGTGACTAATCTGTTTGAATATACTCAATTTGTATCAGAAGCGTTAGACAATCGTTTGCAAGTGGATGCCATATACACTGACTTGAGTGCGGCATTTGACAAGGTGCATCATTGTATTTTATTAAAAAAACTGAAAAGTTTTGGTTTATGTGATAGTTTAATATTTGTTATTAGATCTTTGTTAACAGGCAGACATCAATTTGTGAGTTATGGTGGATTTAAATCGAATAGGTATTGTGTTAACAGTGGTGTGGGACAAGGGTCAAACCTAGGACCACTCTTGTTTAATATATTTTATAATGATGTTGTGAAATATTTAAACTGTAAGACACTTATTTACGCAGATGATTTAAAAATGGCAAAGGTTATAACGAATGTTGAAGATTGCATTGAATTACAAAATAGTTTAGATCGTTTACTTAACTGGTGTGATGATAACTTGCTAACTGTTAATAAAACTAAGTGCAAAAAAATAACGTTGGCCAGAATACATAATCCAGTTAATTTTTATTATAACATTAGAGGATACGTTCTAGAAAACTGTAAAGAAGTATTAGACTTAGGTGTCATTATAGATAGTACGCTCTCTTTTCATTCACATGTTATACATATCGCAAAACATGCTATGAAACTATTAGGTTTTATTTATAGAAATACGAAAGACTTCTCTAATACTCGATGCATTAAATTATTATTTTATACATTGGTTAGAGCAAAATTAGAATATTGCTGTACAGTATGGAAACCTTACCATGTAACATATATAGATCTATTAGAGAATGTACTGAGAAAGTTTGCGAAGTATGTATATTTTAAGATGTTTGGTAGATATCCTGTCAGACACTGTGATCAAAGTAGTTTACTTGACATTGTTAGTGAAAATTCTCTACTTAGTAGGAGGAATATGTCATGTTTGATATTTTTACAAAAAATTGTAACGGGACAAATTTATAGTCAAACTCTTCTCAATGAAATTAAATTTAATGTACCCAGATTAGGCAGCCGCTTCCAGATAAGTTTTTCATATAACATTCCAAACACACTTCACCACTTCAATAGTCCTCTAATAGCTTGTATTCGTTTGTATAATTATATTATTAGCAGAGATCAAAATATTGACATTTTCTTTAATAATTTTTGTAACGTTGGGATTAGGAATAAGATACTGAAAATTGTAGTTGCTGTGTTGTAATGTCGTTGTATCCACTAGAGACATAATTGTCTGCTGGAAATAAATTTAATTATTATTATTATTATTATTAACTGTATCTTCAATTGAGTCACTACTCAGTGTTGTAAGTTGAGTTTTGTTCGGTATTTTGCGCTGGGTGCATGTTAGAAATTGCAATTTTTGCTTTTGTAAAAGTGCTAAAAACGATAATAATTAGTAAATAGGTATGATACATATATTTTTTAATATTTATGAAAATTGAAAACCGTTGTTTTAGTAGTATCTTCGCCCATCAAAATGAGTAATCCGGTTAATGACATAATTTGCATTTTGTTGGAGACCCCATTTTTCAAATGGAAGGATGATGATCAAAAAGATGTTTTAAGTTGTGGTCGTCCTGTTGATATTTTGAGCTTGAGTGCGACAAAAAACGCTCCGAAAAGCAGAAAGTCTTACACACTTCACTTTAAGTCAACCTGGTTTTCGGAGTACCAGTGGTTATGTAGTAGCAAAACACTTCAAAAATTATTCTGTTGGCCCTGCTTGTTGTTCAGCAATAAAAAAAATGTTTGGAACAGAGAAGGTTTTTCAGATTTATTAAATAGTACTAGATCGTTTCGTATCCATACGGATTCGGCAAAACATATCAAATCTGCGTTGAAATTGAAAACATTTGAGAAAAATCGTACCACAATAGCCGATGCTCTTCAAGAAAATGCAAAATTATATGTTGTTAAATATAATGAAAATGTGCGATTAAACAGGCTAGTTCTCCGCGTAGTTCTAAACGCAGTTTTATATTTAGCAAAACAAGAGCTTTCATTTCGTGGTCACGATGAAAGTAGTTCCTCCATGAATCGAGGAAATTTTAAGGAGTTACTGAAATTGCTAATTTCAAATAGCCCTTTGGAAATTCAAAGTCAATATGCAAAAATAAAAAATATATTCAGTGGCGATTCAAAAACAATTCAGAACGAACTAATAGAATGCATATCAGATTATATCAATGATTTTGTTTATAATGAAATAAAAGAGGTTTATTTTTTTTCTGTCGAAGTAGATGATACTACAGATATCACACAGGTTTCACAGTGCTCAGTCATAGTAAGGTATGTGAATTCACTTGGCCTAGTAGTTGAACGTTTCTTGGGGTTCTACGATGTAAGCGAAGATCGATCTTCAGAAAGCTTATTTAACCTATTAGATAATATCTTGGACAAATTTGATTATAAAAAAAAATTAGTGGGACAATGTTACGACGGAGCGAGTGTGATGGCTGGACATTTAAATGGACTTCAAAAAAAGATTAAAGATAAAGCCCCTCAAGCACTCTTTGTACATTGTTTAGCTCATAGACTTAATCTTGTTCTGCAACAGAGTTTTACAAACATTTCAAAATGTCGCATATTTTTCTGTAGTATCGGAGGTATTCCTCAGTATTTCCACAAATCAGCAAAGCGTACACAGGCACTGAATTTATCATCTGCGAGGCGGATACCAACTATAGCACAAACACGTTGGTCATCAAATTCTAAATTACTTAGAGTAATTGTTGAAGATTGGGATAAACTGAAATCAGTTTTCCATCAAATAATTGTTGATAAAACATCGGACAGTCATTCCGTGCAACAAGCTAAAGGATATTTGCGTGATATGAATAGTTTTGAGTATACTTTTTTGGCTGTAGTATTTCATGAAATTTTTTCCGTAACAGATATTCTATTTGACATTTTGCAAAAGAAATCGTTGGACATACGTTATTGTATTTCGAAAATTAAAAACACCACAAGTATTTTAAAAGCTAACCGCAATGAACAATTTTATAAAACATTGTTTGAAAAAGCACAGAAACTAACAGTGATTACTTACACACGCAATTTAGGCCAAGAGGATATCTTTAACGATTACAAAATTTTATATTATGAAATAGTTGACCACATTTTAATGGAAATGGATACTCGATTTCAAGACACCGAAAGGTTACAATTTTTATGTCTTGTAGACAATACTAAATTTAAAAATTATACTTCTTCTTTTCCATCTGATGCTGTTGATAATTTGAAAAACTATTTTGGTTCCATATTTACGAACATGACACGTTTGAAAAACGAACTTGGTCTTATTTATGGAGATGAATCATTTAGAAATATTTCGCTAGAAAAACTACTTCAAGAACTTCATGAAAGTCGAGATATTTTTGTAGAAGCATACAAGTTGTTTTCTTTAATTTTGACTATTCCATCTACAAGTGTCTCAACGGAAAGAAGTTTTTCGTGTTTAAAGAGAATAAAAAGTTATTCTAGAAATACTATGTCTCAAGAGAGAATGTCTTCATTAGCGAATATTTCCATCCAAAAAGAGTTATTACATAATCTCACCGAAAATCAACCATTCTACGATGACATCACTGACAAGTTTGCAAGTCTCAAAGACAGAAGGATCGATTTAATATACAAAAAATAAGGTAAAACTTTTTTGTTTGAAAGTATTTTAGCACTTCATCTGTTTTTTAGACCACGAGCCGCCACTGCTAGTAGGGATTGCAACGAGATGAATGCCCAAGTGGCATCGTAAAAATGCAAGAAACTTATAATACATTTTTCATTAAAATATTTTGAAGGAAACTCGATTCGTACTGTAATACCCCAAACCCCAATTGAAATAGCATGCGGATGTCAGAACTCGACAATGTGTGTTTATTAGGCAGCAATAGGATGACGTCATCTTCAAAATTTACACTGGAAAATGTTACTTAAATTATATAAAACAAGCTACTCCTGCATGTGTGATTTATGAATAAGTTGAGTTTTTACCCTAGACATCCAGATTTTTAGGAAAAAAATTAAAATTGTATAACGTTCTACAGTTTATCTTTGAAATTGCAAAACCTAGTGCGTCGAAATCATGAAGGATTTTCGATATTTTGAATTTTAGATCACTCGAATTTTTTTTTCGAATTTTGGAGTATCCGATTATCGATTTGTTCATTTTTCGTCCCAATTTTCGTCTTTTCAACGTTTCGGTTTTTGGATTATTCTATTTTTCGGAATCCGATTTTCGAATTTTTGATTCTTCGGTTTTTCGATTCTTAGATTTTCGAATTTTGGGTTTTTTGAGCATTTGATTCATCGATGTTTCAATATTTGAAATTTCAGTTTGTTTACATTTCGATTTTCAATTTTTTACAATTTATGTGTGAAATCATGAACGCTTTTCGATATTTCGAATTTTAAATCACTCGATTTTTTTTTTCGATTTGTTCATTTTTCGAAAGTCGAGTTAACAGTTTTTTACTTTTTACTTTGATTTTTAATCTTTTGCTTTTTTCCGAATTTTCGTCTTTTCTAGATTTCGGTTTTTCGATTCTTAGATTTTCGAATTTTCGGTTTTTTGAGTATTTGATTCATCAATGCTTTGATATTGGAAATTTCAATTTGTTTACATTTCGATTTTCGTTTTTTCAATTTCCAATTTTTAGAATATTTGATTCATCGAATTTTCAATTTTTCTTTCAAATTTTCGAATTTTCTCTTTCAGTTTCTCAATTCTTCAGTTTTTTTAATTTTTTATACTCTTTGATTTTTTTATATTCGAATTCTCAATTTCTAACTTATTTTTCCATTTCTCAATTTTTGAATTTTTCGATTTCCCGATTTTTCGAATTTTCGTTTTTTTAATTTTCGATTTTTCGAAATTTTGAATTTTCAATTTTTCGTTATCGTAATTTTAATTTTTTTTAATTTTAATTTTTGATGTTTCCATTTTTCGGGGTTTCGGTTTTTTGATTCTTAGATTTTCGAATTTTAGATTTTTCGAATCGAATTTTCGATATTTCAATTTTCTCCTTTTCGATCTCCCGATTTTTCAATTCTTCGGTTTGTCAAATTTTCGACTTTTCGATTTTTCAGTTTTTAGAATTTTTTACTTTTTGCTTTTTCTTTTCTCGATTTTTGAATTTTTCGATTTTCCGACCTTTTGTTTTTTCGAATTTTTGATTTCTCAAATTTTTAGTTACCGAAATTTGGAATTCTCAATTTTTCGTTATCTCAATTTTCAATTGCTTTTAATTTTATTTTTTCGATTTTACTTATTTTTCCGTCCTTCAATTTTTCGATTTTTCAATTTTTTTACATTTCGATTTTCAATTTTTCTATTCGGTTTTTCGCTTTTTCAGTTAATAATAATAATAATAAGTTTATTGTCCCACAGGTTTCCCTAATTACAGGACAAAATATAAGAAATACATAATAATAAATGTACAAATAACTAAATTCAATTTGTCAATTTATAATTTTCCAATTACTGAGTGTTTTATTAATGTTACATTTTTTTGTTTTTAATATGGAATTATTCTTACATCTCGCTTTTTCAAATTTTCAGTTTCCCGACTTTTCATTTTTTCAATTTCCGTTTTTTCAATTTTACGCTTTTTTAAAATAATGGATATTTAAATTTTTCGTTTTTTGATTATTTTAATTTTCAGTTTCTGGATTTTTACTTTTTAGATGTTGCCATCGTTCGATTACGATTTGCCAAATTTTTAATTTGGAATTTTAATTTTTTCATTTTTAAGATTTTTCAACTTATCAAGTATTCAATTTTTCGGGTTGCAATATTTCGATTTTCAATTTTTCGCTTACATGTTTTTTCACTTTGCAGGTTTTCAGTTTTACAATATTTTGAACTTACAAATTGTCGATTTGCAACCTTTCCATTTTAAAATTTTATGATTTCACAAGAGTTTTCGATTTTTCGACTTTTAAATTATTGATACCCATTTTCACCGCAGTTTCAATCACGTAATGTTTAACTTCCCATTTTTCAAATTTTGCATATATTTTGATTTTTCATACTTCCAATCGCTAATTTTTCAATTTTTAGTTTTTTCAGTTTAAAATTTTTCAATCATATTTTCAGTTTTCAGAATTTTTGATTTTACAGTTTTGCAAATCCTGTGTTACAGTTTTTCAATTTTCAATTTTTCACTTTATTTCCCCAACCTCACTAATTTGCCATTTCGGTTTTACAATTTTACAGTTCTTGCAATTTTCTTGCAAGGGATTGGGGCGAAGAGATGAATGCCACAGGATCAACGTAAAATTACAAGAAACTTGTTTTGATATTTGTATTTGTGATTAAAATATTGTAAAGGAAACTCGATTCTTACTGTAATACTCCAAACCCCAATTCAAAGAGACAGTAGTGGATCTAAAAATAATATAATAATGACAAATACAATTTGCTCTGGGATTTTCGACGTTCACCTGCAATGTTCCTCCAGAAGCATGAATACTGCAACCATCATAACTCTAGTATTGCAAAGTCAAAGATAACATTGTGGTATTCTAGAGATTACAACTTTCACTGTGTTTATTGTGAAAAATTGTTACATCCATTGTCAGTGATTTTGTGGGTCCTCGGTAAGATCTAATTCTTTGCTAGGCTAAATTTTTAGTCGATTGCCCATATTTTGTATGGAATTTGAATAAATTCAGCCCCAGCATTCTACGCATAACCTCAAAACATTTTCAGTTTTGTTTACAAGTTTACAACGTTGCGCGCAAACGACGCGGTCTGGGTCTAGCCACTGGCTGTGTGTCAACTCTCGGACGGTGTGCTAATGATAAAAAACATTATTAGCAAATTTTTATCTTTGACTCTTTTACAATAGCTTTATTATTTGTTCCAAACTTTTTCAATACGTAATGTAAAAATAGATGACGTTAAGCCTATTCACGCCCGACAGTTAAAGATCGTTGAAGGTGTTCCACAAGGTTCAATCTAGAACCAATGCTCTTTTCATATATACTCAAACAATAGTAAACCACAGCACATAACTTTTACTACAAATAAAGATAGTGTTTCCAACTTTGCCGAACCATTTGAAATATGTGCTATATAATTTATTAACTAACTTTTCATAGTGATAATTCCAAGCTTGATGGAATAAACATTTCAGAATTAGAAGAAAATGGCGAATGAAGAAGAAAACTCAAAACGCTTGGAAACAACGTCATTTGCGTCTAAGTTGTGCAAAGATATCTCTTCTCTGTACTTAAAAAAAACATTTTCGGATGTTTGCTTTATTGTTGAAGACCAAAAACTTTACGCCCACAGAGTGAGTATGAATTACCATATTACGCATATTTTAAACTATTTTATCCAAGAATATTCTGACCGTAAGAAGTCGATATTTCGAAAATCTTTTAAGTGGTGGTTTGGAGGAACCTAAACAGGTGACTTTAAGAAAATAACCAGCATATTTCTTGAAACATTTAATTTTAGGAAGACATTACAATAAAGAACGTCCCACTGAAAGCATTTAAAATGCTGCTGAGATATATATACACAGGTGAGAAACATTTTTGCTATACTTAATCGACACGTTAAGATTCGCCAATTCTAGATGAAATACTCGTAACGACGTCCAATACCGAGTTGGTCTCCCAAGTCTTCGCTTTGTCATGCCTATATTCCATGCAGGACCTCCAAGATGTGATAATCTCAAAGCTGAAGCCAATCGATTTGAATAATGTTCATCGCATCTTGAACATGGCGCACTTACACGAGAAAGCAGTACTGAAAAAAGCTTGCTATTCATTTCTCGAAGAAAATCCTTCTGAATTTCTCAGCGGAAAATTTTGCGATTTAACACAAGTACTGAATTTTAGCTACTTTAACAAAAATAATAAATGTGTTTTTTTAGGAGTCGCTGGTTGGATTAATGCAGAACGACAATTTTTGCGCTCCCGAGATTGATATTTTTAGAGCCATTGCGAAATGGGTTATGAAAAATAAAAACGGTGATAATTCGATGTTCAAGTATGTTAGGTTGGCGAGGTTAAGCATCGACGAAATTCTTGGGGAAGTTTGGCCCAAGGATGTTTTTACTGAGAAAGAGTTGCTTGACGCCATGGCGGAAATCAGAGGCATTTTTCCTAGAAAAACCACCCAGAGAGGAGTTATAGGTGCTTTCGAGTCTTGATTGGTAGTTCGGTGGCGATATAACCAGATTTTTTTTAGTTCCGGATGAAAATGTGGCTAGTTGTGATCGAGGAGGGGAAGTGTTATGTCAGCCAGGTAAAGAAGCATTTTTAAAAGTCACATTAATTTCCGCACATGTGTCAGCCAATCAGAACCAAACACGTTTTAATTTGCAGTTTTTCAGTTTTACAATTTTACATTTCTTCAGTCTTGTAAAATGAAAATCTAAAATCCAAAAAATAACAACTGAGAAATCGTGAAACTGAAAAACTGAAATATCTTTAAATATAATTTTAGCAGAAGAAAGTGGTGAAATATGGCACAAAATCAAAGCTGATGATAATATTGTTATTAAGTTGCCGAAGCCGACTGTGATTAACCACATCCATATGAAATTACAAACACCTGATGACAGGTTAGAAATTCTTGTTTTCATTGGTAAGATAAAACAGAATTAGCGGAGTGGGGGTGAGAGAGAGAAGGAGAGAGTGAGAGAGCATCAGTTTTGTTGGATCGTTATATATATTTCGCAAAACTACTTATTCATCTAAACTTTAGATTTGTACATATTCTAGACACTATAGTTATTACGTGGAAACATCACTAGATGAAGCAAAGTGGGAGAAAATTGTTGATTATAGGCAATATCCATGTCGTTCAGTACAAGATTTATTTTTTGAAGATGTAGCAACCCGTTATATAAGAGTGGTGGGAACTCACGGTAAAGAAACTGATGTACGACGAACTATCAAACTTTTAACAAACTGTTGAAAAATTGAATATTTTGCTTTAGAACTTCCGATTATCGTCTTTGGAAGCATATTATAAAGCAGTCATTCCATCAACGATAAACAACTTAATTCGACCAATTTCGAACATAGCTACTGAAGAACACGGCGCCGTTGTGGTTCAAGGGTAAGCACCTAATAATAATATTTTTAATTTAAACACACAATTATGATATAATTATAAAATCTAATCAACTATTATTTAGAAGTAAGAGAGCGTACTTATTGAATGGAAATACAACGAAATACACTCCTCACACTGGATATACATATCACGAGATGCGTTCCTTAGATTGTATTGTAATTCAGTTAGGTAAAGTATCATTCTTTTTTTTAGGGTTACTGTTAAGACTTAAGAATTTACAGCGCAGCCCTTCGTTGTTTCAAGCATGAAATTACTTTTATGGGATTTAGACGATAGAAGTTACAAATATTTCATCGAAACGTCTGTAAATAATGTCACTTGGGAAATTGTATCAGATCGCAGGAACGAAAATTGCAAATCTTGGCAAGATATTCGCTTTGATGAACGTCCTGTTGTTTTCATTCGAATTACTGGGACGGCTAACACTGATTTTAATAATACGGTATTTATAACTCTAAAAATATGTTCTCTGGTATATCAATCGTTACTAACAATATTACGTAGGCTTTCCACTGCGTTCACTTTGAATGTCCTAGTAGGGATTGCAACGAGGGATAAATGCTTAAGTAGGGATCAGCGTAAAATTACAACAAACTTAAAATATATTTTTAATTAAAGTATTGCGAAGAAAACCTGTTTCGTCTTGTAATACCCCAAACCCCAGTTTAAATAGTCAGTGGTTGATCTAAAAATAATGTGATAATGACAAATAAGTCTAACTAAAATGCACAACGTTGACTTACAATCTTCCTCTAGAAGCATTAATACTGCAACCAATATAACTCGCGTGTTGCAAAAAATAACATTGTGGTAGAGATTACAATTTTCATTGTGTTTATTGTGAAAAATTGCTTTCTATCCATTGTCAGTGTTTTTGTGGTTCATCGGTAAGATCTAATTCTTTGGTAGGCAAAATTTTTAGTCGATTATCTTTTGTACGGAATTTAATTAATTTCTTTCCACCTTTTTTTTTCGCATAACCTCAAAACAATTTTAGTTGTTTACATCGTTACGGGCAATCACAACATAACTCATTCAAACTGACACCAAATTCAAATATTATTCATCGTTTGTATTCAAGTGTTCATTTCCAATATCAAAGATCTATAGGGAAAGCCATACGATTTGGTTTTATATTTATTATTCTGTGGGAACATTTTTTTTAATCGGCACCGATTTGTTAATTTTACAGATTTTACAATTTTTTGAGTTTTAAACTTTTAGTTTTTTAATTTTTCAATTTAGTATTTTTAACTTTTCAGCACAAGAACAAATTTATCCAAACTAAAATATTGGAAAAACGGAAAAATGTATCATTGAAACAATGAAGAATACAAAAATTTTAAAATGAAAAATCCAAAAATTTCAAAATGAAAATCGAAATGTAACAATTCTGCAATTTTTCGATATAATATTTTTCAAATTCTCGATTTTTAATTTTTTAATTGTTCAACAAAAGGACAAATTTATTCAAACTGAACTTTTGAGAAACCGAAAAATTGTAAAACTGAAATATCAAAAAACAAAATAATTAAAAATCGAGAAATTGAAAAAATCAACAAAAATAAACAATTTTGCAGTTTTTCGATATGAAATTTTTCAAATTCTCAATTTTTAGTTCTTTATTTGCTCGATTTTTCATTTTTTAATTGTTCAACAGGACAAATTTATTCAAACCGAAATTTTGAAAAATGTAAAAATCAGAAAATTGTAACATTGAGACGTCTAAAAATTACAAAATTAAAAAATCAAAAAATTTCAAAACTGAGAAGTCGAAGAATTGAAAAAATAAAGAAACATTGAAAAAACCGAAAAAATGAGAATCAAAAATTGAAAAATGAAACTTGAAATTATATCGAAAAAATTTAAGATTGAAAAATCGAAAAATGGAAAAATGAGAAATTTAACAAGTGGATAATTGAAAAAAAATTAATTTCAAAATTCCAAAATTTTAAAATGAAAACCGGAAAACTAAAAAATTAAGAAATTGTAAAAACGAAACATGTAAAAATTAAAAAATTGTAACATCGAAAAAACGAAACACTGAAAAACCGAAAAATTTGAAAGTTGAGAAATCGAAGAATTGAAAAAATACAGAAACTGAAAAATCGGAAAGTGGAAACGCCAAAAATTGAATAATATAAACCCTAATAATGATTTGAACAAAGTGAAAATAAAAATCGACAAATTTAAAAATGAAGCAATTACAAAATTCTAAATTTGAAAAAAAAATCAAAAATGGAAAAATTGAAGAAATGAAAAATTCAAAAACAAACTTGAAATATCGAAAAATTAAAAAAAAATAGCAAACTGAAAATTGGGTTACGAAAAAACAATTAAAAAGGGAATAACTGAGAAAAAGAAAGAAACTGTAAAATCTAAAATTTGTAACATTGAAACCTGAAGAAGTGATTAATTAAAAATCTAGGAATTGAAAAATCGCAAAACGAAACATTGTAAAATTCAACAGTTAGAAAATCGAAAAATTAAAATATCTACAAATTAAGAAATCGAAAAATACAAAAATTTTACTGAAAAATGCAACAATTTCAAAACGAAAATCGAAAAACTAAAAAATGGAGAAATGGAAACATGAAAAAATCGAAAAATTACCGATTAAAAAAACGAAAAATATAAAAATCTCGAATTGAGAAATCAAAAAATCGAAAAAAACAAAATAATTTGGAATTACCTACTTGGAAGTACTTTATTTAAATTTTTTTATTTTCTCAATTTTTCGTTTTTTAATTTTAACCGAACAATTTAAGAATTGAGAAATCGAAGAAGTGCAAAAATAAAGAAACTCAAAATCGAATAATTAGGAGGTCAGCAATTTGAAAAGGAAAAATTGTAACCTTAAAAATGAAAAAACTGCAAACTTGAAAACAAGAAAAATCGAAAAATTGCAAAATTGAAAATCAAAAATTGAAACAAGGAAACTTGAAACACCGAGAAATTTAAAAATTGTAATCTTAAAACTTGAGAAACTGAAAACATTCCATAATTGAAAAAACAACTGAAAATTAGTAAAACTGAAAAAAAAGAAACTGTAAAATCGAAAACTGATTAATTAAAAATCCAGAAATAGAAAGATACGGAAAACAGAATTTTCTAGAAATAGAAAAATCGACAAATTGTAAAATTCAAAAGTTGAAAAATGTCAAAATAAACATCAAAAAGCTGTAAAATTAAAAAATCGAAAACTGAAAAAATGAAACATTGAACAATAAAAAAAAATGAAATACCGAAATGTTGAAAAAATAGCGAAGGTAAAATATCGGATAACGAAAAAATCAACAATTGAAAAATCAAAAAATAAAAATATCTTAAAAATGGAAAAAACTGTCAAATCTGAAAATTATAGCTTTGAAATCATGAAGGATTTTCGATATTTTGAATTTTAGATCACTCGAATTTTTTTTTTCGAATTTTGGAATATCGGATTATCGATTTGTTCATTTTTCGAAAGTCGACTTTACAGTTTGTAACTTTTTTTTTTCGATTTTTAATTTTTTGTCCCAATTTTCGTCTTTTCTACGTTTCGGTTTTTGGATTATTCTATTTTTCGTAATCCGATTTTCGAATTTTTGATTCTTCGGTTTTTCGATTCTTAGATTTTCGAATTTTCGGTTTTTTGAGCATCGATGTTTCAATATTCGAAATTTCAGTTTGTTTACATTTCGATTTTCAATTTTTCTGTTCTTCAGTTTTTCGATTTTTCAGTTTCTTTAGTTTTCGCTTTTTCATTTCTCGATTTTTCGAATTTTCGGTTTTTCAGTTTTTTCATTCTTCAGTGTTTAGAATTTCTTTACTTTTGGATTTTTCGATATTCGAATTTTCAATTTTTCACTTATTTTTCTATTCTTCGGTTTCTCGATTTTTGAATTCTTTTACTTTTCGCTTTTTCTTTTCTCGATTTTTGAATTTTTCGATTTTCCGACTTTTCGTTATCTCGAATTTTCGATCTCTTAAATTTTCAGTTACCGAAATTTGGAATTTCAATTTTTTGTAGTCCTAATTTTCATTTTTTTTTAATTTCACTTTTTTCGATTTTTCCATTTTTCGAGGTTTCGGATTTAGAATTTTCCATTTTCCGAAATCTCGATTCTCGAAATTTTGATTTTTCAGTTTTTAGTTTTTTTTTGAATTTTTCGAATTTCCGATATTTCGAATTTTCGTTTTTTCAATTTTCGATTTTTAGAATATTTGATTCATCGAATTTTGATTTTTCTTTTTCCGATTTTTCGAAATTTCGAATTTTCAATTTTTCGTTATCGTAATTTTAAATTTTTTTAAATTCAATTTTTGATGTTTCCAGTTTTCGGGGTTTCGGTTTTTAGATTCTTCGATTTTCGAATTTTAGGTTTTTCCGAATATTTGATTCATCGAATTTTCGATTTCTCAAAATTAAAATTTTCAATTTTTTGCTTTTCAAGATCCCGATTTTTCAATTTTTCAGTTCTTCGATTTGTTGAATTTTCGATTTTTCAGATTTTCCATTCTTCAGTTTTTAGAATTTCTTTACTTTTCGATTTTTCGATATTCGAATTTTTAATTTTTTACTTATTTTTCTATTTTTCGGTTTCTAGATTTTTGAATTTTTTTACTTATCGCTTTTTCTTTTCTCGATTTTTGAATTTTTTGATTTTCCGACTTTTCGTTCTTTGGAATTTACCATTTCACACCTAATTTTAACTTTTTTTTAATTTCACTTTTTCCGATTTTTCCGTTTTTCGAGGTTTCGGATTTAGAATTTTCCAGTTTCCGAAATCTCGATTTTCGAATTTTTGATTTTTCAGTCTTTGGAATTTTTTTCCTTTTCGATTTTTCGATATTGGAACTTTCCATTTTTTTATTTATTTTTCCATTCTTCAATTTTTCGATTTTTCAATTTATTTATATTTCGATTTTCAATTTTTCTATTCGGTTTTTCGACTTTTCAGTTTTCTACTGTTCGCTTTTTTATTTCACCATTTTTTAATTTATCGACTCTCCGATTTTTCGAATTTTTGATTCTTAGATTTTCGAATTTTAGGTTTTTCGAATATTTGATTCATCGAATTTTCGATTTATCAGTATTCAAATTTTCAATTTTTTCCCTTTCGATTTCCCGATTTTTCAATTTTTCAGTTTTTCGGTCTGTCAAATTTTCGAATTTTCGATTTTTCAGATTTTCCATTCTTCAGTTTTTACAATTTCTTTACTTTTCGATTTTTCGATATTCGAATTTTCAATTTTTTACTTATTTTTTTATTCTTCGGTTTCTAGATGTTTGAATTTTTTTACATATCGCTTTTTCTTTCTCGATTTTTGAATTTTTCGATTTTTCGACTTTTCGTTCGTTGGAATTTTCTATTTCACACCTAATTTTAACTTTTTTTTAATTTCACTTTTTTCGATTTTTCCGTTTTTCGAGGTTTCGGATTTAGAATTTTCCATATTCCGAAATCTCGATTTTCGAATTTTTGATTTTTCAGTTTTTAGATTTTTTTTCCTTTTCGATTTTTCGATATTCGAACTTTCAATTTTTTTACTTATTTTTCCGTTCTTCAATTTATCGATTTTTCAATTTATATATATTTCGATTTTCAATTTTTCTATTCGATTTTTCGACTTTTCAGTTTTCTACTATTCGCTTTTTTATTTCACTATTTTTTAATTTATCGACTTTCCGATTTTTCGAATTTTTGATTCTTAGATTTACGAATTTTAGGTTTTTCGAATATTTGATTAATCGAATTTTCGATTTTTCAGTATTCAAATTTTCAATTTTTTCCTTTTCGATTTCCCGATTTTTCAATTTTACAGTTTTTCGGTTTGTCAAATTTTCGATTTTTCGATATTCGAATTTTCAATTTTTTACTTATTTTTCTATTCTTCGGTTTCTAGATGTTTGAATTTTTTTACATATCGCTTTTTCTTTCTCGATTTTTGAATTTTTCGATTTTCCGACTTTTCGTTCTTTGGAATTTTCCATTTCACACCTAATTTTAATTTTTTTTTAATTTCACTTTTTTCGATTTTTCCGTTTTTCGAGGTTTCGGATTTAGAATTTTCCATATTCCGAAAACTCGATTTTCGAATTTTTGATTTTTCAGTTTTTATAATTTTTTTTCCTTTTCGATTTTTCGATATTCGAACTTTCAATTTTTGTACTTATTTTTCCGCTCTTCAATTTTTCGATTTATTTATATTTCGATGTTCAATTTTTCTATTCTTCGGTTTTTCGATTTTTCAATTTCTTTACTTTTCGCTTTTTCATTTCGCGATTTTTGAATTTTTCGACTTTTCGATTTTTCGAATTTTCTTTTTTTTCAATTTTCAATTTTTCGTTATCTTATGTGTATTTACATTTTTCCATTTTTCAAGGTTTCAGTTTTTCAAATATCTCATAACTCAAATCAGTTTCCTTTTCGATATCCCAATTTTTTAATTTTTCTACTCTTCTGTTTTGCAAATTTTCGTCTTTCCGATTTTTCGGAATTTATTTTTTTTCAAATTTTCAATTTTAAAAATTTACAATTTTCGATATTTGGTTATCCTAATTTTCAATTCTTGGATGTTTTAAGGTTTCGATTTTTGAATTTTTGATTTTACGAATTTTCAATTTCCGATTCTTATTAGATATTTTCAATTAGTTTAATTTTCGGTTTCCATTGAAGAATCTAAATATTGAAAAATTCAAACAACTGAAATATCGAAAAATTAAAAAGTCAAGTCGAAAAATTGATAAACTAAAATCGAGAAAAATTTTAAAACAAAAAAATTTGAAAAATCGTAAAACTAACTGGAACATTGGAAAATTGAGAAATAAAAAAATTTACAAATTACAACACTGAAATATCCAAAAAAAATAGAAGAATTGAGAAATCAAAAATTTAAAACTTAAAAAATCACAAAAATAGAAAAATCGGGAAATTGAACATTCCAAACCTGAAATAACGAAGAATTGGGAATCAAAAAGACGGGAAATTGAAAAATTTTAAACTGAAATCGGTCAAAATCGAAAGGTTAAAAATCTAAAGTTTTAAAATAAAAAAACCTGGAAAAATTGAAAAAGGGGGAAATCGAACATTCAAAAATTCGAAAGATCAAAATCTATAAATCGAGAAATTTAAAAATCGAAAAATCGAAAAACTGGAAAATCTAAAATCGAAAACTCGAAAAATCGAGAAATCCAAATGAAAAAATCGAAAATATAAAAATTCGAAAAATTGAAAACTAAAAACATGGAAGATCTGGAAAAATGAAAATATCGAAAAATTAGAAAATCGATAAATCGAAATTTCAAAACCAAAAATTGAGAATCTAATATTTAAAAAGTCGGAAAAGTAAAAAATCGACAAAACGAAAAATTGAAGAATTGAAAGATTCTGTTCTTCAGTTTTTCGATTTTCGGTATTTACTCGAATTTTCAATCTTTCTACATTTAGATTTTTCAATTTCTGTTTTTTCAATTTTTCAAATGGAATTTTTGTGTATCCAATCAACAATATAAGTGGATGAAAATACGAGAAAAAAATATTAAATCTGAATCCTAGTAACACCCGAGTACCAAAATTTGAAAATGTCACCACCAAAATGTTTAGGTAGGTATTTATTGCAGTTTCTCCAATAATCTGAAGAGAGCAAACATAATTCACCGTTCTAGAAGGAAGAAATTTGCTAAATTTCACGTTTTTTCGACTGTTCATAACTCCTAGATATGGAAAAGTAGGTCCCCGTTTCCATCTGATTGTTGTCTGTGTGTTGACGGGTATACTTTACTTTATGAGTCATCAACTCATCAATTATAGACTATATATATATGAATGAATTTATATATTGTTGTCAGGTTGGGTTATGTAACGTCGATAAATCAGAAATGCGATGTACCCTTTGATACCATCGATCACACAATCTTATCTTGTTTTGACAAGATTAATTTAGGTGACATAAAAAAACTCCTTATTCAACTAAGTACACAGCAACACCCATTTGCATGCTGTTCTTTAATAAAATTAACTACTTCATCCTGTTTCGTCTGTTCTGCAATCCACAACGGCGTCTGTCCGCTCTGGTTGGCCCCCAACCCATCAACCCCTCTCTGGACAAGAACCTTCACCAAATCAAATTCACGTATTGCTATCGCAAAATGCAGAAGATTATTTCCTCCAAGATCCAGAACCTTGACATCTGCACCACTCTCGATCAAAACTTTAGCACTTTGCACATTTCCAGTCATTAAAGCTGCCATTAGTGGAGTATACCCATAACGGGTATCCACAGAGTCTAGTCTTGCTTTTTTCTCAACTAGGTACTTAACAACAGCACTACTGTCTTCTTTTACACCTGCAGCCATGTACAGAGGTGTCACTCTATTGAGGTCAGGTACATTCACATCAGCGCCATTTGTCACCAAAGCTTTGACAACATCTAGATGGCCGTTGGTCGAAGCTCCATGCAATGCTGTAACACCCTCTGGTGTCGCTGAGTTAACATCGGCACCATTTTTGATTAGGAACTCAACAAGGGGTAAACAGCCTGAGGTTGATGCCACATGGAGTGGTGAAAGCCCGTTTTCGTTACGTGCATTAGCGTCGAAGCCGAAACTGAGTAAGTGTTTGACGATATCTAAACATCCAGAGCGAGCTGCTACCAAAAGATGCCCCACGTTTGGTTTTGAGTTGTCAAAAATCAATTTAACTAATTCGACATTTTTATTTAGTATAGACGCCTCTATGACGATATCGTTGACAAGGGCGCCTTTTTCTATCAAGAATTTCGCCATCGATGTGTTGTTTCTCGCAACCACGTGCGCCAGCGTTGTCAAGCCGCGTTTATTGACACTATTGACATCGGCGTTTTTCTCAACCAGGTACTTGACAATGCCGAAGTGTTCCTCGGATGCTGCCGCAATGACAGGTGTGTCTCCTTGATCATCGGCTGTGTCAACGCTCGCCCCGCGTTCTACCAAGAACTTGACAACTTCGAAGTGGCCGTTTTGGGCAGCTAGGAACACCGGTGACACTAGATCTTGACTAAGAACGTCAATCTTGACATTTTTCGCTACGAGAAACCTAACGACGTCTAAATGACCGTTTTGGGCCGCCAGGTGGAGTGGCGTTAACCCATTGTCGTTACTTCTGTGGATATTGTCGTCTGCCAGGTGTTCGACAACGGCAATATGTCCGTTGAAAGCGGCGTTATGGATAGGTCCATCACCCACTCGATTTTTGACGTTGACGTCGCAGTTATTGTCAAGCAGGATTTTGACAATTTCCAGATTTCCCTTGAGTGCGGCTTCGTGAATCGGGGTTATTCCTTGAACGTCGGCGATGTTGACATCGGCACCGTTTTTTGCCAAGAGGTCGACGATGCGGTGGTGGTTTCCGGAAACCGCGGCAAATAAAGGTGTCACGCTTTCTGAGTCGGCTATGGTGATGTCGGCGTTATTGTCAAAGAGGTATTTGACTACTTCTATGTGTCCTTCGAGGGCGGCTTCACATATTGGGGTTCTTTGGTTTCGGTTGACAAGATTGACGTCGGCTTTGTTTTCTACCAGGAACTTGACCAGCTTGAGACGGTCGATTTTCTTGTTTAGAACTGCGGCGTGGAGGAGAGAATTGCCGTGGTCGTCGACGGAGTTGATGTCTCCGTTGGTTTTGAGGAAATCTTGGACAGCCGGAATGTCACCATAGAGCGCAAACTCCCAAATCGTCTAAAAATGAAAAATACAGACAATGGATGTATGTTTTCAGATCTTCTATGTTTACCTTCGGATTGTCCATTTTGTACTGCCACTGATAAATGTATTATTTCTCTCGACCATCTGGTTTTTATTATTAGATAAGTGCTGATAACTGATTATTTCCCAAAATTGATAAGAGCGTCATTTGTTTCACAACTGCAGCTATTCGTCAACATGGAATGCTTTGCTTTTACTCAAATCAGATTGCCAAAACAACTACTCAATTACGTAGATATGAGCGTCCACATTATTAAAATGTTTTGGTTGACGAGAAGGAGAAGGAAATCAGATAAGATATTTCTTATTGTATTTTGATTTTACCTTTGTTATTTTAAATTTGTTTTGCAACAGGCGTCTACGTCAGTAAATTAGTCATTTCCTTTTTTCTCCTTATGTGTATATTTGATTTTTCGAATTTTCGATTTTTTAGTTTTTCTATGCTTCAGTTTTTAAATTTTTTTTTACTTTTCGATTTTTCGATATTCAAATTTTTAATTTTTTAGTTTTCGATTTTCAATTTTTCCATTCTTAAATTTTTGGATTTTTCAATTTTTTCAATTTTCAATTGTTGTATTCTTCGGTGTTTCAATTTTCAGTTTTTTTATTTTTCAGATTTTGCAATTTTTAGAGTTTCCGTTTTTTCAATTTTCGATTTTTCGAATACCTATTTGATGCACCGAATTTTTGATTTGTCGACTTTCGATTTTCATATTTCGAATTATTCAACTTTCGGTATTACGTTTATTGGTTTTTACGATTTTTCGATTTTGCGGATATTTGATTTTTCTATATAGGAGTTGTCAATTTTTTTAAGTATGGATTTTCATTGAAGAATCAAAATATTGAAAAATACCAAAATTGGAATATCGGGAGATTGAAAAATCAAGCAATCAAGAAGTCGCAAAATTGAAAAATAAAAAATTCAAAAAACCGAAAAATTGAAGCACTGAAAAATCGAGACATCGAGAAATGGAAAAATCAAAAAATCGTTTAATCGAGAAATTGAGAAATGGAAAAATTGAAAATTTAGAAACATCAAAAATTTAAAAATTAAAAACTGGAAAAATATAAAAATAGGAAATTTGAAAAATCGTTAAACTGAAATCTTGGAAAACTGAGAAATAGAAAATTTGAAAAATCCCAACACTGAAACATTAAAACAGAAAAATCGAGAAATCAAAATCCAAAATTAAAAAGTCGAAAATGTATTTCCCAGAAGTTTTGAAGATTTTTTGATCAATTTTTCAAAAATCTCATTTTTCAATATGAATTTTCGGATGAGTTATTTCAAGTTTCGGTTTGTGGAATATTTGATTTTTCGACTTTCGATTTTCATATTTCGAATTTTCAGTTTTCCAAATTTGGAATTTTCTTTTTTCCATTTTCGACTTTCAGATTTTAGAATTTTCGATTATTCAACTTTCGGTATTACGTTTATTGGTTTTTACGATTTTTCGATTTTGCGGATATTTGATTTTTCTATATAGGAGTTGTCAATTTTTTTAAGTATGGATTTTCATTGAAGAATCAAAATATTGAAAAATACCAAAATTGGAATATCGGGAGATTGAAAAATCAAGCAATCAAGAAGTCGCAAAATTGAAAAATAAAAAATTCAAAAAACCGAAAAATTGAAGCACTGAAAAATCGAGACATCGAGAAATGGAAAAATCAAAAAATCGTTTAATCGAGAAATTGAGAAATGGAAAAATTGAAAATTTAGAAACATCAAAAATTTAAAAATTAAAAACTGGAAAAATATAAAAATAGGAAATTTGAAAAATCGTTAAACTGAAATCTTGGAAAACTGAGAAATAGAAAATTTGAAAAATCCCAACACTGAAACATTAAAACAGAAAAATCGAGAAATCAAAATCCAAAATTAAAAAGTCGAAAATGTATTTCCCAGAAGTTTTGAAGATTTTTTGATCAATTTTTCAAAAATCTCATTTTTCAATATGAATTTTCGGATGAGTTATTTCAAGTTTCGGTTTGTGGAATATTTGATTTTTCGACTTTCGATTTTCATATTTCGAATTTTCAGTTTTCCAAATTTGGAATTTTCTTTTTTCCATTTTCGACTTTCAGATTTTAGAATTTTCGATTATTCAACTTTCGGTATTACGTTTATTGGTTTTTACGATTTTTCGATTTTGCGGATATTTGATTTTTCTATATAGGAGTTGTCAATTTTTTTAAGTATGGATTTTCATTGAAGAATCAAAATATTGAAAAATACCAAAATTGGAATATCGGGAGATTGAAAAATCAAGCAATCAAGAAGTCGCAAAATTGAAAAATAAAAAATTCAAAAAACCGAAAAATTGAAGCACTGAAAAATCGAGACATCGAGAAATGGAAAAATCAAAAAATCGTTTAATCGAGAAATTGAGAAATGGAAAAATTGAAAATTTAGAAACATCAAAAATTTAAAAATTAAAAACTGGAAAAATATAAAAATAGGAAATTTGAAAAATCGTTAAACTGAAATCTTGGAAAACTGAGAAATAGAAAATTTGAAAAATCCCAACACTGAAACATTAAAACAGAAAAATCGAGAAATCAAAATCCAAAATTAAAAAGTCGAAAATGTATTTCCCAGAAGTTTTGAAGATTTTTTGATCAATTTTTCAAAAATCTCATTTTTCAATATGAATTTTCGGATGAGTTATTTCAAGTTTCGGTTTGTGGAATATTTGATTTTTCGACTTTCGATTTTCATATTTCGAATTTTCAGTTTTCCAAATTTGGAATTTTCTTTTTTCCATTTTCGACTTTCAGATTTTAGAATTTTCGATTATTCAACTTTCGGTATTACGTTTATTGGTTTTTACGATTTTTCGATTTTGCGGATATTTGATTTTTCTATATACGAGTTGTCAATTTTTTTAAGTATGGATTTTCATTGAAGAATCAAAATATTGAAAAATACCAAAATTGGAATATCGGGAGATTGAAAAATCAAGCAATCAAGAAGTCGCAAAATTGAAAAACAAAAAATTCAAAAAACCGAAAAATTGAAGCACTGAAAAATCGAGACATCGAGAAATGGAAAAATCAAAAAATCGTTTAATCGAGAAATTGAGAAATGGAAAAATTGAAAATTTAGAAACATCAAAAATTTAAAAATTAAAAACTGGAAAAATATAAAAATAGGAAATTTGAAAAATCGTTAAACTGAAATCTTGAAAAACTGAGAAATAGAAAATTTGAAAAATCCCAACACTGAAACATTAAAACAGAAAAATCGAGAAATCAAAATCCAAAATTAAAAAGTCGAAAATGTATTTCCCAGAAGTTTTGAAGATTTTTTGATCAATTTTTCAAAAATCTCATTTTTCAATATGAATTTTCGGATGAGTTATTTCAAGTTTCGGTTTGTGGAATATTTGATTTTTCGACTTTCGATTTTCATATTTCGAATTTTCAGTTTTCCAAATTTGGAATTTTCTTTTTTCCATTTTCGACTTTCAGATTTTAGAATTTTCGATTATTCAACTTTCGGTATTACGTTTATTGGTTTTTACGATTTTTCGATTTTGCGGATATTTGATTTTTCTATATACGAGTTGTCAATTTTTTTAAGTATGGATTTTCATTGAAGAATCAAAATATTGAAAAATACCAAAATTGGAATATCGGGAGATTGAAAAATCAAGCAATCAAGAAGTCGCAAAATTGAAAAACAAAAAATTCAAAAAACCGAAAAATTGAAGCACTGAAAAATCGAGACATCGAGAAATGGAAAAATCAAAAAATCGTTTAATCGAGAAATTGAGAAATGGAAAAATTGAAAATTTAGAAACATCAAAAATTTAAAAATTAAAAACTGGAAAAATATAAAAATAGGAAATTTGAAAAATCGTTAAACTGAAATCTTGGAAAACTGAGAAATAGAAAATTTGAAAAATCCCAACACTGAAACATTAAAACAGAAAAATCGAGAAATCAAAATCCAAAATTAAAAAGTCGAAAATGTATTTCCCAGAAGTTTTGAAGATTTTTTGATCAATTTTTCAAAAATCTCATTTTTCAATATGAATTTTCGGATGAGTTATTTCAAGTTTCGGTTTGTGGAATATTTGATTTTTCGACTTTCGATTTTCATATTTCGAATTTTCAGTCTTCCAAATTTGGAATTTTCTTTTTTCCATTTACGACTTTCAGATTTTTGAATTTTCGATTATTCAACTTTCGGTATTATGTTTATTGGTTTTTCCGATTTTTCGATTTTGCGGATATTTGATTTTTCTATATACGAGTTGTCAATTTTTTTAATTATGGATTTTCATTGAAGAATCAAAATATTGAAAAATACCAAAATTGGAATATCGGAAGATTGAAAAATCAAGCAATCAAGAAGTCGCAAAATTGAAAAATAAAAAATTCAAAAAACCGAAAAATTGAAGCACTGAAAAATCGAGACATCGAGAAATGGAAAAATCAAAAAATCGTTTAATCGAGAAATTGAGAAATGGAAAAATTGAAAATTTAGAAACATCAAAAATTTAAAAATTAAAAACTGGAAAAATATAAAAATAGGACATTTGAAAAATCGTTAAACTGAAATCTTGGAAAACTGAGAAATAGAAAATTTGAAAAATCCCAACACTGAAACATTAAAACAGAAAAATCGAGAAATCAAAATCCAAAATTTAAAAAATCGAAAATGTATTTCCCAGAAGTTTTGAAGATTTTTTGATCAATTTTTCAAAAATCTCATTTTTCAATATGAATTTTCGGATGAGTTATTTCAAGTTTCGGTTTGTCGAATATTTGATTCATGGAATTTTGATTTTTCGACCTTTTTTTTTATATTTCGATTTTCGAATTTTCAAATTTTCAGTTTTCGAAATTTGGAATTTTAAATTTTTCCATTTTCGACTTTGGGATTTTAGAACTTTTGATCATTCAACTTTCGACATTTCGTTGCTTTTGTAGGTATTTCGTTCATTGGTTTTATTGATTTTTCGAATTTTTGATGTTTCGGTTTTTCGATTTGCGATTATCAAATTTTCGGTTTTCCGATTTTTCAGATTTTCGATTTTTGAATAGTTGATTTTTCTATATTCG